TTCTCACTGAAGAAATAGTGCAGAACGACACATTAAGAAACAATTTTAATTCTTATTACCTCAAATAGCAGATAGTGACACTTGTGAAATAGTCTCGATTATTCTCATTTTTTCATGCAAGTAATCGGTTCATTGGTTGAGATAAAATACATTTATATTGGCTTTCGTCTTTATACAGTTGGCTGAACATTAGATGACTAAATAAATAATTCTGAAATAATATTTCATACTATATTTAATGACATATACTTAAAACAAGTAAAGAAACGCACAAGATAATGATATTACAAGTATGGAACACGATTTTTCTCACATATTCCACATTTCAATTCCTACAAAATTCCATTATAATCACAAATACTCAATTTTTTTTAGAGCATCAAGAGTTTTAAATATTTGGGCAAACATTAAGTGAAAATATTGAATTGTAGAATTTCTGATTTATTTACAATAGCATTCAAATGAAAAAAACAATAAGACGTATGATATAAAGATACTACAAAAATTAGTCACAATTTCCCATTCAAGTAATCATTTGTGACAAGAATTTTATACATTTAGCCGAACATTTAATTTCAGTAATTTCAGTACTGAAATATTGAACTTTTTTATTATTTTCAAAAATATACTCATAAAAAAGTTAATGAAACGTGTAGGATAAGTACATTACGAATAATAGTCATTATTTTTCTTCCAAGTACTACTTCATGACAAGGTTTTTGTACAAGGTTTTTAAACAAAATTAAAAATCAGTACTGAAATATAGAACTTTTTTTATTATTTTTAAAACATACATGAAATATAGATAATGAAAAACGTATGGTAAGAATAGTAAAAATATATATCCAAATTTTCTTCTCATTTAAAATTCGTAATAAAAATTTTATGAAATTGGTTGGGCAATAAATGGTAGTGTTAAAATATGGAACTTTTTTTCCGTATCATCACTAACATACATTAGAAATATGGAAATGTTTAGGTTAAGGATATTACAAATATTTATCTTAATTTTTCATCCAAATAATCATTCGAAATACGATTTTGATACATTTGACTAACAGGAAAAAACAGTACTGCAATATAGATTTCTCTTATGCTATCTATAACACATAAAAAATTTAAACAGTTAAACATATTTGTTAAGTATTTTGCAGATATTAGTCTCAATGTTTCCTTCAAGCATTTATTTGTGACAAGAATTTTGTTGATTCAATCGAAGTCAGTACTAAAATATGCGCCTAAAATTTTTTTTTAAATAATACAAGCAATAAATATATTTATATTTGAAAATAAAGAAGCACAATATGCAGGTGAAGAAGAGATACATTTCGCGCTTTGCATGAAACAAATCTAAAGAATGCTTAAAGTAAGCGCCCAAACCCCAACGTGACATCGCCTTGTAATTAAATTAATGAAGTTGTAGTTGCGAGAAATTGTCTTCTACATCGTAGTTTAAGATTAAAAAGCATTGGTATAGTCATTAAACTATTTTTTTACATATTTATTCTAAAATATAACTGATAAGTTTTTAAAATAAAAAAATAATTACCATTTTTGCTAATTTTGGCTTTTAACTTTAATTTGCACGCTGATATTGGTTAACAAATATTCCTCTTTTGTTAGAGTTGTCTAAGTTGATGTCTCTTCCTTTACCTGTCTACTGGCAATTCATCAATCATCTGTCAGTTACAGGTGGACCAATAGGAAGATGCTTCTATTGGGATGGGAATACAAATCGGCCAATAGAAATATTACAAACAACTAGTAGCTCTTCACAACCACAAAATTATGGAAATTAATTCACTTATTATACCACTATATTACTCTGATATAGTGATATAATAAGTGAATCTTATAGTTAGCCTCTAAACTGGACATCTCTATTAACAAATAGAATTTAAATTATATTTATAAACTTTCGTCAACAAAGGTATCATAATTAGAAACTCAGTGTAAGTTCTATATTTTTACATTGATTGGCTAAAATGTATTTAGTCTATCTTTATTTACAATGAATCTAGCTGTGCAAAGCCTGATTTGACAAAAATATATGCATTTCTATAAATTAATTTTTTTAATTATCCAGCATATTTTCTTTAGATCTGTTAGAGGTTTAGAAAGATATAGAGCTGAGAGTATATATAGCCCTAATCTTCTTTAGATTACCCTAAATTTAGTTAAAAGCATTGCTTTTATCAAAATGAATTCGATTCTATTCGAACGAATACTAAGTTAATTAATTATTCTGGAATTTTTCAATTAGATCATGTAATTCGCTTTTTCTCATATATTTTCCGTATCTGTTAACTTTTAAATCTTCAAGAACTGAAAACGACTCTATAATTTACACTAATTGTATTATATTCTCCATAAAGAAAATTATTTTTTCAAACATTATTCGCTCGAAATGTTTATAGCTCTTATCCATTTAAGGTAACCCTTTATCGTTTTAGACCCTTTAAGATAATTTTACAGAGTTAGTTTCTATAAAAGTGTATTTATTTCTATGAATTCATTAATTGACAAAAAAAAATTTTTTGGATCATGCAACTCGTTTTCTCAAATACATTTTCCATCCTTGTTGAAATTCATATCTTCCTGAACTAAAAATGACTCTATAGTCAAATTACCTATATGAAGTCCTTCAACTTATTGTTGTTTGTAATGACATTTGCCAATTTTATCAGCAAGCCTGATTGTTGTAACCAAGAAAATGTGAGGCAGAGGGCGCGTTTCCTGTTTGAAGAGGTGCTATCTATGGCCAAGAATACGACTTCAGCCACACACATTTTAAAGAGCGGACCCATTCATATATCCATTCATTCATACGCATACCGTAATTTTGACCTGAACCAGAAAACGACTAATCTCCAATTCAGTACCCCCAGAGATATTGATTTATTATGGAAACTGGAGAACTTTGTGATCCGACAGATTCAATATGCACCAGTTACCATTAACTACACGGGGAGTTTTGGGTCAGCGGGGATAGAGCTCACGACCTCTTGGACTGGGGTACAACGCCCTACCAACCATGGCTATCCCGGCCTATGTCCTTGAACTTTCAAACATTATTCGATTGTGCTACTGAGTTATTTTTTTTAAAATATGTATTTATTTCTATGAATTCTTCCATTGTTAAGGAAATTTTTATTTAAATCATGCAAGTCATTTTCTCTAATACATTTTCCGTACCTTTTAAAATTCAAGTCTTCGAGAACTAAAAATGACTCTATTATCACGTTAACTGTATTGAATTCTTCAAAAAGAAAATCATATTTTCAAACATTACTCGGTTAAAGTATATGCATCTCCATTCTGTTTAAGATAATCCTAACTTTCATAATCTATAACTATAACTAACTTACCTAACTGATCTAATCTTATCGATTTAATATGACCCTACTGAGTTGTATTTATAAAAATGTATTCTAAAAATTCATGAATTTTTAAAGAAAGTTTTATTTAGATCCTATAAGTCATTTTCTCTGATACATTTTCCAAGCCTATTAAAATTCAAATCTACAAGAATTAAAAACGACTCTATGGTTAAGTTACCTATATTAAGTCCTCTTAAGTAGAGGTTCCATTTTTTTAATTTTAGTCGACTGAAGTATATATATCAGAATTCCACTTAAAGTGAACAAAACTTTACATAACTAGACTAAACTAGACATAAAAATACTAGTTTAGACATAACTAGACATAAAAATGCATTCATTTCTTAAATTTCATTAATTGCTTAAAATAAAATATTTAGATCCTGCAAGTCGTTTTCTCTCATACATTTTCCGTACCTGTTAAAATCGAAATCCTTAAGAATTCAAAACGGCTCTATAATTAATTTACCTATATTAGGTCTTTTTAAGAAGACCTAATATAGGTAAATGAACCTATATTTTACGCTATATAGATAACCCTATTTTTTAATTTTAGTCGATGGAAATATATATAACTCAGTTCTATCTAAAGTGACCCTTACGCGATATAGCTAGATTTTGTGAAAAAGGAATTTCTTAATTTTTCACCATTGTTTCATACTTTTTTAAATCAAAAATTTCAAGTGCTGAAAACTACTGATTGATTATACTTAATACATATGCTCTTCAAGTGCTGAAAACTACCCATTGATTATACTTAATACATGTGCTGAATTAATTTTCAGGAATTAATGTCCAATTTTTTTAGAAAATAAATCAGAAAATATAAAAGCCGATGGTCATTTTTTTAAATTATTTTTCCCCGTTGCAATATAATCGAAACTTTGTTTTTCGACGTGAGTAAAAATAATTTTTGATGCCAGTTACGTTATCTGAAAGTATTATAAAGTAAGGTAATTAACTATAAACTCTATTTATTTGATTTTGTTTAGAGGAAACTAAAGGAATGTTCTAAATGACCTAGTCTTTTGGCTAATGTAAACGATAATCCAAAGACCTTCCAATAATGGTGAAATTTCATCAAAAACGCATTAGGGCCTCCTCGTTAATGAAGACCAAAAGTACTAAGGTCTGCCTTCGCTGTGACCGCCACTGAAATTAATCTGTATTAAAAGGTAATTATAGCACACTTAGGTGTGAAACATTAATGCGTCTAGCAAATGGCTTTTTTTTTCGTCCATTTTACTGATTTATTTTTTTATGGTTATTAACATTAACGCTCTTTGATACAAATTTCCAAGATTTTAGCTTTAAAGTGCAAAGGTCTTAGTTGAATCCTCAAGAATGAAACAGAAATATTGAAATTGCAAACACTCTGCTTTTAATAATAAATTATACGTTATATTTTTCTTATTAATTTATGAATGTAACAAGATTTACAAAATAAATAGATACCCCTTAAATATATAAGGACATTTCTCAAAGGTGGTTTAAGCAAAAGTTTGATTTTTAATACCGTTATTTATGTTATATGTAATTAATATACACACTATATGTATTAATATACATTATTATAAGTCATATTGATGCCTACTAATATGATTTTTTCTATATTTTCAGTTGAAAGACCTCAGGCTGAAGGTGAGTAACAAATACTTTTATCTGAATTTTGAAATTTAACAAATGAACATTCCACAACATTAATAAATTCCATATAAATGTGTATATTGACGCTGATATATAATATATATGCTGCCTTATAAATGCATATATTGACTTATAAAAATAAATTAATAAGTAATTTACATCTTAGAAAATATAAAAACTGTCGTTTATGGAATAACTTAGTAAAAATAGTTTGTACTTTGTTAATCATTCCTGAGTATTTAATTATTTTTACAAATATTTTTTTCCAAATTAATATTTATTTTCTATCTCTATATAAATTTCGTTTGAATTGAGACAAAGAATTGTGGTTTGACATTAAATGTTATCAAGCTTGTTTCATCTCATCTGGAAAGTATTTGTATCTAATCATATCTAATCAATCGAACATATCTAATCAATGTATATGCACAAAATATTTGTGCATAATATGCAGCATATTTGGGTTTTTTTCTCAATAAAATTAATTATTTTTATTTTTTAAACTATTTTAGTGTATTATTTGTCGAAATTGGGAAGCCTTTTAACTCTCATCTGTTTGTTGTTTGTATCAATCTGATGAATTTTATGAAAAAGTTAAAATCAAGTTTTTATCAACAAAACTAACGCATAATTAAAGGATTGATTGTTTCTTTTTGGCACATAATAGCTTAAATTATTGAATAAAGGTACCAAGCATAGTCATCACAGTTTTTAAAAGCTAATTATGTCTCAAATTATATGGATATTCCACACTACTTTTGCGTAACACACCACTCAGTAAGTATCCAGTCTGACACATGAATGGTACCACTGCTAGCAGAACCACATGATTTCTGGATGGTTGCAATTTTGAAACAATAATTATCAAAATTTCATGACATTCTGATAATTAGTTTAAAGGTTACAAGTGGTTTTAGTCTCTCTAGTTTTGTAATTTTTAAAACAATAGATAAAAAAGAATTTCTTGTTTTATTAAGCATTGTTTTTTAAAAGGGAAAATACTGTTGAAGCAAATCAGTGGCGTGATTAGTATTATGGAGACTCTGCACCAAGAAAATCAACTATTAAGTTGTTAAAAAAAAGTTCCTTCCATAGGTTGTTAAAAAAGCAACATCATTGCTAAAGGATCTCATTTATAGCAATAACGAATCAAAACCCGAAGTTCAGTTTTATCCAAAGTCATTTAGAGCTAATTGATGAAAATTTTAACTAAGAACACCAAAAAACAACAACACAAAGTGAAAATTCATAAAAGTTGAAATTTTCGCATGCGTTGCAGAACTTTTTTAACTACAAAATGTCATTAAATGGTATACTGAATTTAAACGCGACCATAAAGACAAGTATGATGATGAACGCTCTGGTCGTCCAAAATCAACTGTTGTTCCGGAAAATATCAAAACAATTTATAAACTAGTTTTGAAAGTACGTAAAGTGAAGTTTTTTGAGATAGCTGACACCTTAAAGATATCAGAAGGTAGTATTTTATAAAGGTAGTATCAAGGAGTATTATGGGTATTATGGATAGTATTATGATGATAGTATAAATGGTTGCAGTATGGTAGTATTATGGATAGTATTATGATGATAGTATTAATGGTAATATTATGGTAGTATTGTATTAGGGGTATATGACGGTATTATTAGGGATATGAAGGTAGTATCAGAAGGCAATTTTTTCGTAAAAATTTGAGCATGCGCTATTTGCTTTGGAATTGGGTGCCGCGTTTACTCACACCGATCCAAAAAGAACAATGTTTCGATGATTCAGAACGCTGTTTGGAACATTCAATGACTTTTCATCATTTTAAAGAATACAATTTTAAATGGCAAAGTACAAAATTTGAGCAAAATCGGTTGAATAGTTCGTGGGGAAAAATGAATTTTAGATATCTGACTTTTCAAAATTGTTTATTATATCAACTAGCCTATTTTAATTATCTAATTAATTACATAGAAAAAATTAATTTGGATAGTTGAAGTCACCTCCATGAACCATATACATTGATTCCTAGAATGTGAAGATCCAATCTTCAGATCGAAAGTTATTCAAGGTGGTCCGTTTTTTTATTTTTCTAACTGTGCGTCAATGTTAATTCTGAAGAGTACATTTTGTTTGTTACTTTTCGATAAATTTTATCTCTAAGTTCAACACAAACTCACACGTCATAACTCTTTCAACTACTTTTAGATACATGAGTTTTATTCTACGACAACGTGAGGTTTCTGCTCTTTAGTGATCAACATATTTTTTCGACAACAAATGGGCATATACCTTAAAAAAATCATCAAGCAAATTCGGCTCAATTGTTTTGAAAATATGCTGCACGCTTAAGACATTCTAAATTAAAAAAGAAAGCTACATTAATTATTTTTATTATTTTATCGAATAAAGCATCAAATTTATTATACTCTAGTACTCTTTATTCATTTTGAACACTGAACCAAGCAGCCAAGCAGCTAACCAATTCAGATAAATTGGTTGACAAATACTTTTTAGACAATAATAAATTCTCTCACTTCATATCTTAAAATAATATCTATTGTCATCCTTTCCTGTTAATATATTTGAGTCTATTATTTATGGGAACACTTTGTGTTTTAATTTCTCTCGAGGAAAAGTAAAGAAGTATTTTATTCAGCGTTGAACGACCGACTCAATTCTGAATTTTCAACTATCAATGTTCAACTACGTAGTCTTGTAATTTTGAACCTAAATCAAAAGACAAGAGAATTTCTAGATGAAGCATTGAGACAAACTAGAATTTCTTAAGAACTTTTTAATGGAACTTACCTACGTTTGCGTTACTTGGTGAGTAAAACCACGAAAATTTCCCAAGCTTAGCCTAGTGGTAAGGAGACTCTAACTTATGATCCGTATACCACTGAGGATATATTTACGTCAGCACTATGGTTGGTGCGAGCCGGAAACAGATTTCGTATCAACCAGCCACTGTTAAGATTCGAAACTGGATTAACTCATTTAGAGGTGAATGCTCTATCCCTTGAGCCACCTCGATTCAAGATTATATTAATTACTTTTTATTACGCTAACAAATATAACATCAATTTTATTATACTCTAGTCCTAGCCGTGGTCCCTAAGGGGATAAAGTGCTCGCCTACCAATGAGGTGCCCCAAATTCGAATCCCAGGGGTGGCTGTTTGATACGAACTTTGCTTCCGGCTCGCACCGACCACAGTACTGACGTTAAAATATCCTCAGTGGTGGACTCCTCATGGGTTAGTATCCCCCGTGTTAACCATGGGAGGTTTTTGTGATTTTCTTCTCAATGCAACACAATTTCGGAATAGTTCCATCAAATAGTCCTCATTGAAGACAAATTTCTCCTAATAGTAGATCCAAGAGTTCCCGTGTTTCCTGGATTGTGTTTAGAATTACAAGGCTACGTAGTTGAACATTAAAAGTTCAGAGTTCAGAATTGAGTCTGTCGTTTATCACCGGATAAAATACTTCTTTATTTTTCCTGGAGAGAAATTAAAACATAAAATGTTCCCATTAATAATAGACTCGAATATATTAATAGGAAAGGTTGACAGTAGATATTATTTTAAGATATGAAGTGAGAGAATTTATTATTATCTAAAAAGTATTTGTTGACCGACTTATCTGAATTGGTAAGTTAAATTCAGTGGTCAAAGGAATAGAGAGTACTAGAGTATAATAAATTTGATGTTTTATTCAATAACATAATAAAAATAAATCTAACTCTCTTTTTTTAATTTAGAATATCTTAAGTGTGCAATCATATTTTGACGATTATAAAATACTCTTTCTGCCCTTTGGTCTCTGAACTTAATTTACGAATTTAAAAAAAATTAGCTGACAAATATTTTTTAGACATTAATGAATTGCCTTGCTTTATATCCTAAAAACTATATCCAATGCCATGTTTTCCTATCAGTATATTCGAGTCTGTTATTAATGGGGACACTTTATTTTCTAATTTCAATCGAGAAGAGAGAAAAGGAGTATTGAGGTTTAAACCTGTCAGACACGCATATTTCCAAAATACAAAGTGCTTTCATTAGCGAACGAAGAGCATTATAAAATTTTCTTTAGCCTACCTCTTCAAGATAAAAAAAAAATCTCCGTAATAATCCACTTTTGTGTTAAAGCTCATTACGTGAAGGGGCTAATATTTCATCTAAAAGGCTTTTCGGACCCCGAACACGGTCGCCGAGAATGAAAGCTAATTAGACACTCAGAAAAGCACGTCAATCGATAGACTCCTAAAGAGATATGCAAATCTCCGGAGAAAACAGCGATCAGAAATTCTGAAAAGAGAAAGAAGGGAACACTATCGGGACTGTACGGCGGATGCTTCTGTTCTTCATTCCCCCTATCTTTTCAATGGATGGCACAAATAGGTTTGTTTTTCTTCTTTTTGCAGAGTGCACCTACGAACGAGGAGGAGCTGGCGGGCTAATAAGCCCTTCGGACGTGAGCAAATCCATCTTGAACTACTCCCTTACTTGGAAAGTACCTCTTGATTGCACTTGGGTCATTCAAGTGGAACCCGGCTGGAAGGTGAGTTAACAGAGAATTCCTCTTTATATGAAAATCAGGTAAATGTTAACATTCGAATAAATACTGAATCAGCAAAACCCCCCAGGGAAGTAATTTACCGATCTGGTTTTCTCAAGAAAATTGGAAAAGGATAGACTTGATATTTTGAAAAGGACTACTGGGTTATGTCTACTTCAATTTGGGTACCCATGCGCTTGAATTAATTATCTTTCAATGTACTGTTTTTTTGTAGTATCGTTTTAAATATCCGTGATTCTGGTACCTTTATTTCTATAATAATAAATGAAAATTTGGAAATACAACAAAAAAATAAGAAATTTACTGACAGTTTATCTTCATGCGGAAAATGGAGCAGGAAAATATTGAGACACTTGGAACTGGATAAATCATTAAAATATATTGAGAGTAAGTNGTGACATAAATTTTTTAATGTTTTAAAAAGAAAAAAGGAAAAAAGGAAAACCACTGCTAGCATTTTCTCTTTCAATTAGTCAATCATCATAACTGTAAAAATATCAATCATCAAAACTGTAAATATCATAAATAAAACACGAAAGCGCAGCGCGAAATTTACATTGGAACTAATGAAGAACTTCGTCTTCTCTCTCGATCGTGACTCAGTGATTTAAGTAAGTTAAAATGTTAAATTACTTTATATTTACTTTTTGGTGCAACTGTATTTTATTTTGAAAGCATGTTTAAATACAATTAAATTAAAATTAATAAATCAAAATAATCTGAAATATAAACAATCAACTCCCCCCCTCCCAGCGGGCTGCGGTAAAATTATTAAACGTTGACAAGTCCGCGATGATAAAAAGGTTGGGGAACACTGCTTTATACAACTGAAGCGAAACACTTTCCCTCCAGTGATCGAGTAGGCCTGATTCATTGACAGTCGTTAACGTTTCAAGTTATAACGAGAACGCTTTGCCGTGATTGAAGTCTCCATTCCAATGCAGTTCGAGTGTGAGTCCATGCGATCTGTTTATCGCGTCAATGCAAACCGGGAACAAGACGGCGTAATGCAGTATCGTCATCTGTCTGAGAGTGAGGTAGTTACATGCTTGTAGTTCGATACCACCATTGTGGAAGAATGCGAGAATTATGACGGTGAGACCAGAGAACCGGGTAAGTAACCGTTATATTCCAACCATTATGGAGAAGGGCGTAAGTTAAAAAGCTTCATATTGATACCGCCGCAACACTTCATACAGTGGGACAAAAGTTCACATAGAAAATAATTTATGATTTCTTGAAATCACCATTGAACACGATTTTGTGACAAAGATAGAACTTACTGCTGACTGTTATTCTTGTGTGGTTTGCTTATTTGCATCTCAATTTTGATCTTGCGCATTGCATGTACTATGACAAGTTGCTTTTTAAATGGTTTGAAGAAATATTTTGCCAATCTTCGAGTCTGTTTTATGCCAGCAAAATTGTAAGAAACGATAAATCTGCATATAAAAGAATACCATTGGTACAATTAAGAAAAGTAGTGGAAGGAAAATAGTAAATAACACGTTTTTAACACTAAACGTTCTAAAATCCAAAATTTCAGAGTTTCCTAAAATATTCCTCGGCACTTTCGTCCACTATGATAATTTCACTTCTTTATCCTGTCTATTTCTATTTATTGACATTATTATCAGCCGACACATGAAATATTCATAAATGTTTGCAAAATAATAGTGCAATATATATAAAGATATAAAGATTTTTAGTGGATTTCTCGTTAGAGTTCTAGTTCATCCTTAGTTCAGTATATGTTTAAAAAAAATAAATGTTAACTGCAGAATTATTCAGCGCATTTTGAATATAAGTTTTAAACAATTTCAGCCTCTTAAAACACAAATAGTAAAATTTAAATTATGGAGATATTTGTCTTAAATTAAAGCAACGTTTTACAAACTCTCATTCTTCACCATGCAAGCTGTTTGAAAGCTAGATAAAATTGCAGTTTTTGATAGTTTATAAGTCATCAGAGAGATCCTGTGTTTGAATCCTGGACAAGGCATGGATGCTCTTTCATTCTCTGTACTCTCTGTCCTCATTGTGGGTGCAACATTGGCCCACCAAATATGGTGCCCCTGAACAAGTGGCCAACAAATCTGCCCTACTAATACCTGATTGGCAAGTGCCAATCGATTGGACATTGGAAAAAACATAAATAAGTAATTTATAAGTTAATAATTCGTTCAAAATACAATGAATAAGTTTTATAAATTATTTCGTAACTTTCGTAAACAATCTGTAAAAACATTCCTTCCGACTGGCAAGAGACACTTTAGGTATATATCTTGTCAATACGGCTTTTAATCTTTCTATCTTTCTATGGTGAATCTTTCTTTCTATGTGAATCTTTCTATGGTGATTTTCCACGAAATACGACAGGAGTCATCTTTTGTAAAAATCTGAGGAAAAACATGATTTTTATGGTGTTTAAGAAATACGAGGTACTTATTTGATTACTCTTTATTTTATGTTACTACCAAACAGCCAACTTGCATTAGTTTTATAATAACATTCACAAAGTATTGATTCGAATTAATATGATGTTTGGATCATTTATTTTTGTTACAATTTCAAAATAAAATTCCATTCTTTCGTGAAAATTTTTCTATTTTGTTTCAATTCAAAAAAAAAAAAAATACATTGACACAACTGAAACTAAGACTAATTTTTTTACAAAAAATTTCCACATAGTCTCATTTAACAGATTTTCCTTTTTTCGCACTTGTTGATTAAAAAAGAAAAAGAAAAAAACCGAACTTTAGAAGAAAAATCTCTTTTTTTGGAATTTAAGAGAAGAATATTTCGGAATCTCACCATTCCTTTTGTTCTCTGGTTTTGGAACCTAACGCTTAACTCGAAGAATGTTCGAATTAAATAAAATCTTTTCTCCATAAAAGGACACCTTTGTTAGTATTTTTTAGCTCTTTTTTCACGGTTTTTGGGACAAAAATATCTCCTTAAAGAACATTCCATCCCATCCCGACTTCTCCCACCCCTCTCTTGTGTCCCGGAATCCTCAAAAGAAATAAACAAACAATGAAAAGAAGGAACTTGGAACGCAATAGAAGGCTTCGACGCCTGAAGAAGGGGAAATTTCCCGCCGACTTGAATGACAATGAAGTAAAAATGGTAGCGGGTTCATTCAAATGGTAATTCCCTTCTTCTTTATTTTCTGCTACGAAGACTGTGGCTTAAGACAGCGTAGAAACGTATAGATAGACGTCACCGCAAAAAGGTAAAGCGTCTAATGCAAGAGGGATTTAACGCAAAGTAAAGGTGATGAAACAGTGGAATGAAATAACTGTTCCGGTTAAGAATTGTTAAAATAAATGCTTGGCAAAAAAGATTTCAATAGGCTTTATTTTCCTCTTTTTTTTGGGGGGGGGGCCATTTCGAAATTCATGAAACTCTTAGCTTTGCATTTAAATGGTAATAAAAATGATCTTTTTCACAAATCAAGAAGCTGCATTATTTATTTTGAGGAATAAATAATAAGTGTGAATTTCGTTTTGTTTCCCTAAAACATTTTATCATTTTACTTAGCAACATAACAATAGGATTGATATTCTAATTCTTCCTCTACTCTAATTAAAAATAGTTTGATCTGAAAAGGGTCTATCACTATCAATATCTATTTACTTTCCATTAATGTCTAAATTTCTTATATGCCTTGACTCAAAAGAAACTGCAATTAAAAAAAGTTCTTATTTATTTAACTAACTGAATATTTTCTTGTGTTAACTACTCCTTGAATTTTTAAAAGAATGAGAAAAAAAACATTTGCTTGTTGTGAAAACAGTCCTGTTTCAGATATGAAGAATTCTTGCAATTCTCGCGACGTATCACTCTACGTGAGCATAAGTTAAGATAAATATATACATTTTATCAAGTCCAAAAATTTCTAATACAAGCTAATTTTTAAAAGAATTTTAGCTAGGCTTTAACAAAATATCTACTTCATTTATTGCTGCAGAAAATTTTACCCACAGCTAGTATCCATGCTGTAAACTGTACCCAAAAAAAACATGCTAGAAGATTTTGTTTCGAAAAGAAAAATAACTCTGCGCACTCCTGTCATTTAATGTAAAGATAAGGGAAAATAAAGTGCTGGAGCAACTAAAGACACTGTTGAGGAGTGTGCTAGATATATTCTTTGGCACCAGCTGAGAATACGAGTGGGACTTATGTACTCATAGCCGAATACTCTAACTACAGTGAAAAAAAGTGTACACCTCCGACCAGAGGAAATGAAGAGTTGCTTTACACAATAAATGCTTTATACCAGTGTTCTCCAACCCCGGATCCGCGGACCGGTACCGGTCCGTGGATCAAATGGTACCGGGTCGCCCATTTCACTGAAACTGAATTTAAATTCCTAGGTTTATACAAGTTAAAACCAAATCCCAAATTAAAAATAGTTCCATTAAAAATTTATTTATTTAAAAAAAGGGAAGGGCAGTGACATAAATTTTTTAATGTTTTAAAAAGAAAAAAGGAAAAAAGGAAAACCACTGCTAGCATTTTCTCTTTCAATTAGTCAATCATCATAACTGTAAAAATATCAATCATCAAAACTGTAAATATCATAAATAAAACACGAAAGCGCAGCGCGAAATTTACATTGGAACTAATGAAGAACTTCGTCTTCTCTCTCGATCGTGACTCAGTGATTTAAGTAAGTTAAAATGTTAAATTACTTTATATTTACTTTTTGGTGCAACTGTATTTTATTTTGAAAGCATGTTTAAATACAATTAAATTAAAATTAATAAATCAAAATAATCTGAAATATAAACAATCAACTCCCCCCCTCCCAGCGGGCTGCGGTAAAATTATTAAACGTTGACAAGTCCGCGATGATAAAAAGGTTGGGGAACACTGCTTTATACAACTGAAGCGAAACACTTTCCCTCCAGTGATCGAGTAGGCCTGATTCATTGACAGTCGTTAACGTTTCAAGTTATAACGAGAACGCTTTGCCG